CCCTGCACCCCTTTTCTCCCCTCCACATGATCTCCGGATATCAGGGGCTCCAGAAGGCCTCCCCTACCACACCCCCCTCCAAGAGGGAGACCCCCACCAACCAACCAGTTAGGAGTTGGCCAGTTCCTAACAAGCTGGGAAAGGGTGGGCAGCCCGCAAGTTGACCCCTACCCAACAGCCATCACCAGAGTCCTTCCCAGGTGGCAATCACCCCTCTGGGGCCACACCAATTGCTTCGGAGTCTGCAAGGGGAAACCTCAAGCCAACTGGTTTTTCTGCTTGCTGCCAGGCCTTAGCCAGCCACATGACGGGGCTTGGGCCCAGGTCTCAGGAATGTCTCCAGACTGCTTCTGCCACAGACCCAGGGCTCTGAGCAATGATCCAGGGTCAGTGGGCCAGGCTCAGGTTCCCCAGCTAGACAGTAGGCCCAGGTGGTGGTGGGGGATGGTTTGAATCCACATTTGAAATGCTACCTTTCTGAATCACCAATGTTATGTCAACCCCGTGCCCCTTCATCAGCCAATTCTAGAAAAACACCCTGCTTAATGTTTCCTCTGAGGCCCCCTCCCATGCATCGGACCAGCCCCCATCCAGGGCTCAGATGTCCTCATCACTCCCCTAATGACTATGCTGGCAACAAATCATTACACCACCTGGTGTGCTTAGCTTCCCCAGCGACATCAAAGGCCTCCTTGCCTTAAAACAAAACAACTGCCAGTCCCCAGGCTGACTCAAGATGGGGGCCACTTTATTGGGCAAGGTATTTATTACACCTTGGAGCTCAGATACATCCTACTGATTGACTTCATCAAGCCTGCCCTAACTAAAGAGGGAGAGGCATGGCTGGTCTGGATGTCATCTCCTGGAAGGGGCACTGACCCAGGCATCAGATGAACCTTCACCTATGCCTCAGAGAGTGCCCTGAATCTCCTCATGATCATTCAGTAAAATGATTACTATTGCACTTTGCACCAGATAAACAAAACATGGCTCCCGTCCTCCAGGAGCTCCCAGAGTACGGTGGACCTGGAGAAGGCGATTTCTATGATACTGGACAGTAGATTCTCACAAATGTTTTGAGAACATAGGGTAGAAGAGATTGGTTTCAACTGGGGAAATCTAGGAAGGCTTTTGAGGTGGTGGCAGTTATCCTGGACCTTTACAGTTGTATAGGAGTTGGGCCACTGGCTATCTGGAGGGCAGCCACAGCATCCCAGCAGGAGTCCTGGGGGTAAAGACCAAAAACGAGGTGTGCAAGTACAGGCAAATGTAGTTCTCTGGTTGGGGAGTAAGGAAATAAGAAGCATGGGTGGAAAGCAGGCAGGATCAGACCAGGGTGGGTGCAGGATGCAAGTCTCAAGTTTAAGGAGGGGGAATCTCTTAAAATTTCTGAACAGGGATCCCTGGGTGGCGCAGCGGTTTAGCGCCTGCCTTTGGCCCAGGGCGCAATCCTGGAGACCCGGGATCGAATCCCACGTCGGGCTCCCGGTGCATGGAGCCTGCTTCTCCCTCTGCCTGTGTCTCTGCCTCTCTCTCTCTCTCTCTGTGTGTGACTATCATAAATAAATAAAAATTAAAAAAATTAAAAAAAAATTTCTGAACAGAATGCTGTAAAGGAGCAACTATTCTTTGTAGCTGCTGACGGGTGGACTGCAGTGGAAGCCAGAAGACACCTGAGACAAGACAATGCCACCACTGCCACCAATGCAGACTGGGGACAGAAGATGGCAGCCGCTCAGGCTTCCAAACGGTCGTTATTTCTCTGCAGGAGGCGCTGAGTTCCGAGGGTGGGAGGATCCTACTGGTAAAGAGGGGTGCTGGTAAAAAGGGTGAGCACACCTGACTCATTTCAGCTCAAAGCAGCAAATACCTTCCAGTACAAACACCTGGTCTCCCGCCAATCTCATCAAGAATGGCAGACGGGGGGCGGGGGGGCGATCAGACAGCGATGCTGGTTCTGCCTCCTGTACAAGCCATTTGCCTCAGTTTCCCCATCTGGAAAGGGCGGGCAGGGATGGCGGTTGGAGATGAGCTCTCTAGAGTCCCTCCGTCTCTTTCTAGAGTCGAAGACCTCAGGACGGGTGAGAGGTGCACCCCCCGGCCTGCCTGGGCCCCCGGCTGTGGAGCACGGCGCCTCCAGGCTGGCGCCCCTCCGCGCCGGCCCTCGGCACTCAAAGTAAGGCACCCACCCACGGCGGTGCTGAGCGGAGGCGCAGGCCAGGTGCAGCACGGGCGCTGGCCAAGGCAGGACCTCCTCGGCTTGCCAAGGACGTGCCCCGCGGCCGCCTAAAGCTCGCGCCCCAAACCCAGGGCGTTACGCGCGGCGAGGACCGGCCTCCCACGCCCTGGGGCCCGGACTCGCCAAGAGGATGCGGCGCCGGAAGGGGCTGGGCAGAGCTTCGCGAGGGGCGGGACCAGGACTGTCGGTGGCCCCGCCCAGGGCGCGGCCAGAGGCGGCTTCCCCGCCTGCCGGACTACGTAACGACGCAAGGGGCGGAGCTCGGAGAACAGACTGCACTCTGGGATTACGTAAGGAAACGAAAGCGAGAGCCGGGAATTCCGCGGCAGCGGGCGGGGCAGAGGGAGGAGCTGCAGTCGGAACTGGGCGGGGCTCCGAGAGAAGGCGGGAGGCGGGGCGACGGGCCTGGACTGGGTGCGCGCCGGTAGCTAGCGCCCGACATGCTCCGCTGGGCCCGCGCCGGGAGGCTCCCCTTCAGGGCGCTCGGCCCATGCAACCTCAGCTTCTCCGGGGTGCCCGTCGCACACAGCAGCAGTGGCCGAAGCGGCGCCGGGCCGAGGTCAGTCAAGGGCGCCATGTGGGACACCGTCCATCGCTCCTCCCCGTTCAGTCCGGCCGGGATGGCCCCGCCTCCTCCGCTTGCGCCCGCACCCGCGCCCGCCCAGGTCGCGCCCCTAAACCCGGTCCCCAGCCCGCTCGGACCCCCTCCTCCATCCTTGCTCCTCTCGCCAGGTCGGTGCTGCTTTCCTACAAGCTTCTGGACGGAGAGGCGGCTCGCCCGGCCCTCGTGTTTCTGCACGGGCTCTTCGGCTCCAAAACCAACTTCAACTCCATCGCCAAGGCCCTGGCCCAGCAGACGGGCCGGAGAGTGAGCTTCCGGGAGAGGCGGGGTCCCGCAGGAGGTGGGGCCTGGCTGGGCGGGACGAGGGGGAGGCCGAGGCGGGGCCCGCTTCTCTGCCCTTCCTGCAGGCCACCTCCCCAGGAGTACCGGCACACCGTGACTCTGGGTGGACTTCATTCATTCTCTCAGGCTTGCCTCTATCCTGTCCTTCATTCGTGTTATGGACCTCCACGTGTGTGCTCCACGCTGAGCTTAGATGCCCTCATCATAAGGCTCAGCCGTCCAATGCCTAAACGCCAATAGCTTTTCGGTTAAGGGGGCCAGCCCCCCCTGTGCGTTCACCCGGGATGACAGGGGGCTTACCACCTTTTACAGTAGTCCATCCTTCTGTGCTCCAACTGTTGGAAATTCTTGGCACCTGCTTACTCCGGGTGTTCACTCAACCAGGCCAAACCTTTAGAGACGGCCACACTCCTTGGGCCTTCTCCTGCTGAGTGACTCCATGTTCTTTATTTGGTCTCCTAGGTCTGAGAACTGGACCCCCTCACCATTGGGTCTCTTCTTCCACTTCAGGATCTTTCTCCAGGCTCTCTACTCCCCTCAGCCTGCGCGAATGTCATGCCTTAGGCTGTCTGTGCCCTGAATGTGGATGCTAGCTCTGCCCACCCTCACTGCACTCTGCAGGTGCTTACAGTGGATGCTCGGAACCATGGTGACAGCCCCCACAGCCCAGAAATGAGCTACGAGGCCATGAGCCAGGACCTGCAGGACCTCCTGCCCCAGCTGGGCCTAGTGCCCTGCGTCCTCATTGGCCACAGCATGGGAGGCAAGACAGCCATGCTGCTGGCACTCCAGAGGGTAAGCTGTCCCTATACGGGTTTTCCTCCCACCCAGCGTATACCCTGAGTGCCCAACAGGCAACCTGGGACTCGGTTGAGCCTCTGATGGCCAAATTCAAGATCTGGGAACTATGCATGAGACCCAGTGTGCCTGCCCTAAGGCCAGTCCTAAGTCTGGTTCTCCCACCCAGCCAGAGTTGGTGGAACGCCTGATTGCCGTGGACATCAGCCCAGTGGAGACCACATCCAGCTCGGACTTCCCATCCTACATGGCAGCCATGAGGGCCGTAGACATCCCAGATGAGGTGTCCCGCTCCTCTGCCCGAAAACTGGCTGATGAGCAGCTCAGCACTGTTATCCAAGTAACGCACCCAGGCCCTGGGTTCTGCCGTGGGCTGGGACCTGTCAGGGGAAGAGTGATGGCCCCAGACCTCATATAGAGACTCCCCTCCCCCAATGGCTGGACATCCCCCTCCCCCCAACAGGACATGGCTGAGCGTCAGTTCCTGCTCACCAACCTGGTGGAGGTGGATGGGCGCTTCGTGTGGAGGGTGAACTTGGAGGCACTGGCTCAACATGTGGACAAGATCTTGGCTTTCCCACCACGACAAGAATCTTACCTTGGACCAACCCTCTTCCTCCTGGGTGGAAACTCTCAATATGTGCAGTAAGCCAGTTTTACTGGTGGTGGCAGGAGGGGCTTGCATGCAGGCAGGCAGTGCCTGAGAGTTCAGAACACCACTGGGCATGTGGGCTTATGTAGCTCTCTTTTCCCTGCTCTCATCTACTTCTCTCTTTCCCCATCTTCCCACTTTGACCCCTTCTGGGTGGCCTTCTCTTCGATGGACAGCCCCAGCCACCACGCCGAGATTAGGCGGCTCTTCCCTCAAGCCCAGATGCAGACTGTGTCCAATGCTGGCCACTGGATCCATGCTGACTGCCCACAGGACTTTGTGGCTGCCATCCGAGGCTTCCTGGCATAAGAATTGCTGGCAAGAAGAGGAAACTCCAGGTTTCCGGGCCTTGCAGCCTGCTCCGTGTTTCTGCACAAAAGGACTCAGGGAGCGTGAGGATGCAGAGGTGTTTAGATCTCAAGCTTTTAATGAATAAAGACATTGCTCCCAAGCTCCTGGGCTGGGCTCTGTTACCGCCAGCGTCCCCACCGACCCAGGGGGAATCGGACCTGCAGGGCCCTGGCAGTTTGGGGGTTCACGGGGGCACCCAGAGTGCCCTGGGACTCTCTCTGCAGCTGACTCTCGACCCGCTGCCTCACCATTTGATGCATGTCCTCCTGGGGGCAGGAGAACAGGTTCAGGGCCAACCCTGTGCCCCTCTTCCCATGCCTCCCAGGCCCGGCTGGCATTCCCACACTACCTCCCAGGCTTCCACCTCCTGCCTCAGCCTCAGTTTCTCCTCCAGGACCTCCAGTAGCTGGGCCTCCACAGCTTGCAACTTGGCTCTGCATGAGTCCAGCTCAGCCTCCATTGCCTGCTTCCTGCAGGTGGTGGGAAGAGCAACCTGAGACTGGGACCCTGCACATCTGCTCTGGGCCCCAGGGGGTGGGGGGGGGAGTGTAGCCACAGCGCCTGCCTTGGGACAGGGTAAGTGCTTTCCTTGCAGGAATACCTGACTTCTCACCTCCTTTCCTGTAGTAGGACAGAGCCCTGAGGGTGAGTCACCCACTGCCCTCCCAACACCCCTCGCCTCCACCCCCCACCCTCCCAGGCATCTGTCTCTCACTTGGCAATGGCTTCATCCCGCTCCTGGAGGACCTGGTCCAGTGAGGGCTCTGTCTGGATGTCCCCCAGTGCTCCAGCAACTTGGAATTCTGGGTTCTGTTGTAGGGCGACAAGAGAAGGGAGCAGGGATCTAGAGCTTGTCTGGATGAGGTGTCCCGCTTCTGGGCCCTTCTGTCCTTGCCTTGGTTCTGATATTAATGTCAGGAGGGGAAGGTCTGGAAAGTTCCATCCCTGCCCTCCCAGTACCCATCTCATGGGCCTCTGAAGGTAGAGCAGGAAGACTAAAGACTGTGCCATGCTGAGGGGGTGGCAGGTGTGGCCTCTGCCTGGCACAAGGGTAAACAGAGAGGACCGGGTGTTTGGACCCTCAGGGAGGAAAGAATTCTCACCCAAGCCACAGGAAAGAGACAAGGTGGGTTTCGGGACACTTACCGAAAGAGACAAGCTAGGGCCCCAGACAGAGAGGGTGGCCTGGTGACTGGGACTCTTGTCAGTGGGGTGGGGCAGGCGGACAACATAGCCCTTTGCCCTCCCTTCCGGGCTAGGCACTCCCTTGTAGGCTCCGCCCTCAACTGGCTGGCCAGGCCCTTGCCTCCCCTCCTGGATCCTGGAACCCTCTGGAAGCTGAGGCTTCCTGAGGAAGCTCCAGACTGGCTTCCTCAGCCCCTTCCTGCACCGTCATACGTATCCTTCACCCCAAGGGGGCGCTCTGTGCACGTCAGGAGATGAGAAAGGGACCGAGCCAGGACTGCTTCAATGCTGAGGGGCATAGGTACCCCAGCCCCCCATCCTGAAAGGTTGGCATCTTGGAAGCTTGAATAGCATCATCCAAACATATCTTAGCAGAAAACAGAAGGAAAAACGTTTAGCCATTCCTGACAGACTCTTGAATGTCCATCATTCCTAACAATATTGCTCATTATTCCTCCAGTATCCTCAATATTCCCATCCTTGAGCCTGGTGGGTCTGCTGTGCTGGGGGTTGGGGAGGTGTGTAGGTAGCCGCTGCCTCCCCGAGTGCACTCGACAAGCATACCAGTGACATCAAAGATTTGAAAGAGAATTTTCCCCCTTGAGAAGCCTCTTCTGCAAGGTCAAATCGAGGGGATTAGATCCTCAATTCCGCCCTAAACAGTAAATATTTCTTTTTTTTCTTTTTTTTTTCTTTTTACAGTAAATATTTCTAACGGAAACTCCTGGCAGGCAATGATTCCTGGTTGTCATGGGTGCCACTGAGACATGTGTGCCTCCAATGGCCAGACTAACAATTTCTTTGCTTGAGCCCCAGGTAAAGAGGTAGGGTTGGACTGTACCCTCAAAGATACCCTTTTGTGGAGGAGATTGATTCAGTGTGTTTTGAGAGGCTGATCTGTGCCATGATCCAGACAGGACTCGGGGATCTGGTCTCAGGGACCCCCAAGGCCAGCAGGGATAGAGCATAGATAATCAGAGCAGCATATCAGGGGGCCCAGGAACAGTGGGAGCCCAAAGGAGGTCACAGGAGATCATACTGAGTCAGTCACAGGATGTTCCCTAGGATCTTATCCAAAATGAACCCTGCAGGCTGGCAGGAGTCAGCCAGGAGAAGCATTTCTTTTAACTTTTTGTTTCGAAACAATTTCAAAACTGCTCTTCGGTATCCAAAAAAATATCCTTTTAGGGCAAAAAAAAAAAAAAATCTAACATGGTATCAAACATTGTGCCCAGTTGTCACATCTCTCTGGTCACCCTCGGTCTAGAACAATTTGCAGCCTTTCTTTGAATTTCGTGGCCTTGACATTTTGAAGATTACAGGGAAGTTATTTTGTAGACTGTCCTTCAATTTGGGCTTGTCCACGCCTTCCTTATGATTAGACCACTGTTATCCATTTTGGGCAGAAATATCATCACAGAAAAGATGCTGTGTTCTCATATCCAATATCATTTGGAACCATGGCTGATGGGATCAGTGCTGATATCTTGACCACGATTAATAAGCACTGGGGAAGGGAGGTATTTTGAGACTATGACACATCCTTTCTTTCTTTCTTTTTTTTTTTTATGATAGTCACACAGAGAGAGAGAGAGAGAGAGGCAGAGACACAGGCAGAGGGAGAAGCAGGCTCCATGCACCGGGAGCCCGACGTGGGATTTGATCCCGGGTCTCCAGGATCGCGCCCTGGGCCAAAGACAGGCGCTAAACCGCTGCGCCACCCAGGGATCCCAACACATCCTTTCTTTTACACCACCTTTGCCTATAGTGTTTAGCAGCCACCAATGTTTCTTGCCTGGATTAATTATTACTGCAATGATTCACAAATGGGGGTCCCTGGATACTCAGTCGGTTAAGCATTTGACTCTTGATTTCTGCTCGGGTCATGATTTCGGGTCATGAGATAGAGCCCCACATCAGGTTTGGGCTGAATTGGAGCCTGTTTAAGATTCTTTCCGTCCCTCTGCTCCTCCCCACTCCCCTGGTTCTCGCTTATTCTCTTTCTCAAAAAATGAAATAAAATGAGAATCAAGACCTGTGAGATGTGTTCATTACAACTAGACTAACCTCTACTAGGCCCACTTCGTAGACACACATCTATATACACGCATAAACATACACATTTATATTATGTTTATTTCTTTATCCATGTAATAGTTAAATTTTTGTGTCTGTTGGGCCATGGGATGCTCAGCTGTCTGATTAAACATTATTTCTCAGTGTCTCTGAGGATGTTTCTGGAAGGGGTTAGCATTTGACTTGGTGGACAGGGTAAAGCAGATAGCGCTCCCCAATGTGGATGAACATCGTCCAGTCCATGGAGGGCTTAAATAAAACAAAAGAAGAATGTTTGAATTGTGCTCCTTGGTCTCAGGCCTACAGACTGGGACCACATCCCTTTCTGAACCTCCAGCTTCACGTTGAATTGACCCAAGTCAATTCCTCATAATAAACCTCTCTCTTGGGGGGCACCTGGGTGACTAAGCCAATTAAGCAACTGATTCTTGCTTTTGGCTCAAGTTGTGATCTCATGGATGGTGGGATCCAGCCCTGTGTGGGGCTCTGCACTGAGCAGAGAGTCTGCTTCTGCCCCCCTCCCCACTCATTCTCAAAATAAATCTTAAAAACAAAGACAAAAAACCTCTTTCCCAGTGTTCATCCTAATGGATCTGGTTCCCTGGAGAACCCTCACTAATAGAATTTACACATAGTAAGGAAAAGTTCACCATTAGACCTGAATCCCAGTCCACCAGCACAGGTTCATCCTAGCTTTTTCCCCATTCCATATTTCATCCTCTTTCTCAATTGTCTTCAGTGCATTTCTTTTTTTTTTTTTAAGATTTTATTTATTTACTTATGGAAGAGACACACACACACAGAGAGAGAGAGAGAGAGAGAGGCAGAGACACAGGCAGAGGGAGAAGCAAGCTCTGCACAGGGAGCCCGACATGGGACTCCATCCTGGACTGAAGGCGGTGCTAAACCGCTGATCCACCCGGGCTGCCCTTCAGTGCATTTCATAATCAGTTCGGTCTTCCCGTTGCAGCTAATTCCCTGAAACAACGGGCCTCCTCCTGACCTGGATGCTCATGTGGGCTTGGCTCCTATGGGGCTGCCTCCCCCCACCCTCAACTCCAATGTCATCCTCATGTGTGGCCCTGGCTGACACTGGGCTGTCAAAAATATCTCCACTTTACAGCCATTAAATGATTTGTTCGCACCACAGTTGTTTACTGAACACCTATTACATTCTAGGCATGTTTCCAGAGGGTGGACATGAAACAGGAAGACAAAATTCTCTGACCTCACCAAGCTCACACTCTAATGAAGGTAGATAGACCACAAACCAGGTGGTAAGAAATACCATGGAGAAAAGAAAGCCAGGAAAGATGATGAGGACCAGGAGACTGCTATTTTATATTCTGTGCTACCTTACAAAGATCACAAATAGTAACCTACCACTTAGATGAAAAATCACCTCTCTCTCACGACTTGGAATAATGTTTTCAGCGACAGCATCATTCATGCATTCAAAAAGTTCTGTGATTCCAAGCACAAGCAAAAGTGATATGTTTGAGAAAACCATGCTAAGAGAACTCAAAGGAGATGCCCAGAGTGTCACGAGACATGACAAAGAAAGGCAGAGATGCAAGTGAAAGGTTTGAATAAATGTTCACAAACCACAAGAGAAGAAAATAATTGTGGGGAGCCCGGGTGGCTCAGCGGTTTAGCAACGACTTTGGCCTGGGACGTGATCCTGGAAATCCAGGATAGAGTCCCATGTCGGGCTCCCTGCGTGGAGCCTGCTTCTCCCTCTGCCTGTGTCTCTGCCTCTCTCTGTGTCTCTCATGAATAAATAAATAAAATCTTTAAAAAAAGAAAAAAGAATTGTTTTGAAATAAACTTGTTCTTAAAAACAAGTGGCTGAAAATACCTGTTAAATATTTTAACTAAGTATAACCAGGAAGTCACCAATTCCATCTGCATCCCCAAATGTTTAAACTAGAATATTGGACCAAATTTCTTTTAAATTTTTTCATTGGGAAAAGGAGGGGAAAACTTTAGATTCAGGTTTACAGCCAATTCCATCACAAAGCCCTATCTCAAACACCACACACTGGCTCATTCCCCAGCTGCCCATCATCCAGTCTCCCTCCTCCCCTGCTTCCTCAGGATGTCTGAGCTCAGGCCTCAGGACTGAGCTGAAGGATGGACAAAGTTGATGGTGCGCTGGGATGGTGGAGGCTGGAAGTGGGAAAGAGAGCTGCCGGCTGGGAAGGGGGCTGTGTTCTGTGATCAAAACAGCTGGGATTTGCGGGGCAGGGGCAGGTCACTTACAAACTGTGTGACCTTGTTTGTGCTTACTTCCCTGAGCCTTACCGTCCTCATCTATGAAAAGGAACTAACGGGGGACCTCCCCAGTAAGGTCATAGTAAGGGTTAAGTAAGGTACCTCATATAATGACCAGTGCTTTGCATAGTAATGGACGAGGGCCAGACATCCCAAGAAAGGAGAGAAAGCCTGCCAGAAAACAACAGAAAAGAAAAACTGGAGAACATCACCACCACACATACACACTCACTCACTCTCCCTCTTTATGTCAGCTGCCCCTTCCTGTTCTGCTTCCCTCCATGGGCTCTGCCCAGGGACACTTCTGTTCTTAAATTCTACACGAGCTGCCTCTTCATCTTCCTCCAGACCCCTACAGCCCCATGTAATCCCCCATAATAGTCTTGTCACTGTCAAAGTGTCTCTCCCACCAGCCTAAGGGCTTCTAGAGGTCAGGTGGTGACTCATCATCCCAACCTGGACACTCAGGTGCTCAGCAACAATGGGGTCAGCAAAGCAGCACCGGCCAAGCCCAGCAGGTGGCAGCAGTTCCCAACCTCAAGGATCCGGTAGGCAAGGGGCCCTCCCCGCCTGTGGGATGGAAACCCCAAACTGTCCCCAGGGGCTTTGGGATCTTTCAAGTGCCCAGCTTTTCCCTCAGTGCTCCTTTATAGGAACACTGCTCACTCATATTGCACTTTCTGGGCCAGCTTTGGGAAA